GTATTAAGTGTATTTTGGTAAAGATTAAGATTACGTTGTTTCTATTGTCTTGTCGAGGCTCATATGTGCAATCTCAGTTAGTTTGGGGCCCTTAACTTGGTCAAAGAAGATGATAGAGGGAAATTGAGCCCTAGACATGAACTTTGCAACTTCGTCAACCAGAATCAATGGGCTTGAGCCTAAATATATACAATGAGGTTCTATTCGAGTCAACTCAAATAACGTCGATCATCGTCACCGTTAAATAACATCGATCTACATGTCAAGAATTAATGAGCCAACCCATTTGGCTCCGCAGTTGGTGGAAGTGAGAAATAGCGGTAACTTGGGAGGCCATGGACTCGTGGGCATGGTTCGTCTACAGGAGCGTAGCCATAATTTTGTCCGAGTGTGGATCCATTTAAAACAAAATTACATACGATAAAATAGATTTGTTAGCTTTTTAAATAGTTCATAATATAGTTTTATATTTACAAAATCTTGATAAATTAAATATATGTCAAAACTATCAGCAGTATCACTCTATATGTATCAAATAATTATTCACGATTTTGTTAGCTAGACATTTGCTTTTGAATGGTGTTATTTGTCAAGACCGTTTGTATCAATAACTCGAGTTGTTGGGAAAGATTTAATAATGGACCTCGTACTATGTAGTATTTACTAACGCTTCCCCACTTACGAAAATCAACTTATACGTTATTAAAGTTTTCGCAAATCTGAATATCATGTACTTAACAATTGTGGTCACCAAGATTAGAATACATGATCTCTTGGTCAACCATTCTCAATTAGAAGTGCCCTAAATTTCATTCTCAATTAACTATTATACTAATTTAGTCATTTGTCATTAGGAGCCACCCGGTACACTCTCCCTACCCCCGATTAAAATAAAATTATTTTTATAAATTAGCTATGATTTGGTGGAAATTTTTCGTAGATATTGAATAAATGTTTCTTTAATTTGTACTTAAATCATTATAAAAACATTGAACATGTCAATACACAACCTATAGATCATACATTAAATATTTGAAAGATCAACCATTCTCATTTCAATACGTATATTTTTCATACCCGATTAACTGTTAAACTTAATTTATCTTTTTTTCCCTCCCGAGTTAGGGTGGTTGCGGTAACAGACTTTCTTGTATTCTTTGGTGGAGGACTTTCCTTTTGTGTCCCATCAGCATGGCTCGATAACTAAAGGAAAACAACGAAGTCAAAGAATGTTCTGTTATGTGGATAGCTCTTTCATTAGAAAATAGAGATCACGCTTGGGTTGGGACCAACATATCAATACATAAAAGCATTTCTATATTTGCTAGTGCATTGATTGAGGTAACACAATTAGTAAATTAAATGTAAACACAGTTCTCTATAGTATGAGAGTTGAAAGAAGAAATGTCCAACTATGCTCACCTCATGGATGTAAATAAATAATTTTACAATACTATATATTATTGGTGCTATAGGTTATACATTAAACTTGAACTTATACATCTAATGTTATGGTACAACTTCAAGTTGTACATTAAAACATCAATACTTTATAACATAGTAAAAGGGCAGATATATGTAATGCAGATATATCATGAAGGCAGAGCATTGTTATTAGAGGTGGATAGATATGACGAATCATTTCATAAATAAATCAAGTTATACCGAATTGTGTGATCAATAAATACAAAACTGAATATAAAAAACTCTAAATAAATGTCGAGGCACGCTATATATGTGGTTCACTTTATATAACTTTATCATGACAATCTTGTTATCATAATTTTTGCCATCTATCTTCTAACACTTTATTATGCAAATAAAATTGTCCATCGATCACATAACCAAAAGAAAGAACGTCTACAAACGCCAAAGTCACCACTCATCAACCATAACCGACAAGAAAGGGAGAGACATTTGAGCTGTGTACTAAAGTCGCTAATTACTCATTCCCAAAAGGATCATCTCATTCATTTCTTTTTTCTACCTCGTCATCCATATAGTCAACAAGCTCAACTTCCTCTTGAGTGATTAACGGCCCCTTAAACTACCTCATCAAACGAACAAACAATGTTTCCACTATGACCTGAAATTACGTAGCCGCAAATAACACGAGAATGGACCCATCATTTCCCTCCTCCGGTCCATTTAATTTGGTTGTACTAATCACCGCCACCACTCCCGGCTTTTACCTCCCTTTATAAACCCCACTCATCCACCACTTCCACAAGTACTACTACTCGCTAGCTTAGCTAGACCAAACCACTTGATCAACATACAAGGAAAAGGAAGAAGAAGAGAAACTAAAAATGGCTTCTTTCACATTCCTTCTTCCTCTTCTCCTCCTCTTCATCTCTCTTCTCCACCCACATTTGGTCTCCTCCTCCGTCCAAGACCCCGACCTCGTCGTCCAAGACTTCCACAGGTACGTACGTTCCATACTTCATAATGCACTTAAGTAACTTAAGCTCACGACTGTTCACCTCATTCTTTGGTTAATTAGGGCAATGAACGAGTCAAGAAGGAAGCTGTCCTACTTATCCTGCGGGACAGGGAACCCGATCGACGACTGCTGGAGGTGCGACCCAAACTGGTCAAACAACCGCCAGCGCCTGGCCGACTGCGCCATAGGGTTCGGCAAGAACGCCATCGGTGGCCGAAACGGCAGGATCTACGTGGTCACCGACTCAAGCGACAACGACGCCGTCAACCCAAAGCCCGGCACCCTCCGTTACGCCGTTATCCAGGACGAGCCGCTGTGGATCACGTTCCAGCGCGACATGGTGATCACGCTGAAGCAGGAGCTGGTGATGAACTCCTTCAAGACCATCGACGGCCGTGGGGCCAGCGTCCACGTGTCCGGCGGCCCGTGCATCACCATTCACTACGCCACCAACATTATAATCCACGGGATCAACATCCACGACTGCAAGCAAGGAGGCAACGCCAACATACGCGACTCCCCTCATCACTCCGGGTGGTGGACCCCGTCGGACGGCGACGGGATCTCCGTCTTCGCCAGCAAGCACGTCTGGATCGATCATTGCACCATGTCCAACTGCAGGGACGGGCTCATCGACGTCATCCACGGTTCGACCGCCGTCACGATTTCGAACAACCACTTCACCCATCACGATAAGGTCATGCTGCTGGGCCACAAGGATTCGTACGTTCAGGACAGGAACATGCAGGTAATTCGTATTAACTGGTTCTTGACATGGTATCAGAACTTTCTATAATTGAGAGAGGTTCATGTATAATACGTAACCACATAGGTGACGGTGGCGTTCAACCATTTCGGGGAAGGGCTGGTGCAGAGGATGCCGAGGTGCAGGAACGGCTACTTCCACGTGGCGAACAACGACTACACGCACTGGGAGATGTACGCGATTGGGGGGAGCGCGTCGCCCACCATCAACAGCCAGGGGAACAGGTTCCTGGCGCCCGACGACCACTCGAAGAAGGAGGTGACGAAGCACGAGGACGCGCCGGAGGGCGAGTGGAGGAGGTGGAACTGGCGATCCGAGGGCGACTTGCTGCTCAACGGCGCGTTTTTCCGCCAGTCGGGTGCTGGGGCTGGTACTTTTGCAAGAGCTTCTAGCCTGAGCGCTCGGCCGGCTTCTTTCGTCGCCGCCATGACGAGTACCGCCGGAGCGCTCACGTGCAGGAAGGGTAACCATTGCTGACTATACCGACCATGAAGTCAACGTTGTCAAGTCGCATCCATATCATTATGATCAAGGCCTTGAACTTGATGACGATAATATATAATAATATTACAGAATTTATGAACGAGGGCTAAGCTATGTACGGTGTACCAATCGCGGCGTCAATCAAGGCCGGGAATTTTAAAGGAAAAGAGTTTTTGTTTTTGAAATTAAAAAATGTATCCATCATGTCAAAGTATGACCTCTGTAATATAATGTCTTGGTTGGGGAAGAATGATGTAGCATAGCATGGGGAATATTGGACTATACCAAAACTAATGTGCCAATTAGCTAGCCCTATGGTTACTACACTAAAAACGAACCAAGAGCAGAAGTGTTGACCTGCTTGCTAGTAATTTGAGTTTAACCATCAAGGTGTCAATCTTGCATACTCTCTACTTATTATTTCTCCTTTACCATATAGTTTAATGTAGATCCTACTAAAATAAAATAAAAAAACATTTTTTTCTTGGAGGATGAAGATATATAATGTCACTTTTTTTATATATAGAGGATAATAAGGTTATTTTTTATATCGATGGCTTTGCTTTGCCTTTTTCCTGACCAATTTATGCATAATCTAGAGTCTAACATGTCATGAAATGCTTAGATACCTAAATGATCGAACATATCTTGTTAAACTCTGTTATATGCTATGAAAAGCGAACCAAATGAACAAATCGCTCTCATGCATGCCTTGTACCAATTAGGCATCATTCGCCCCCCCCTAGCCCGCCATGCCCGCTTTTGCTTAGCATTACAAACCAGATAAAGAACTTATTGTGTGTGAACATGGGCAAAGGGAATTCACTAATCCAGGGTTTAGATCATGAACCTTATCGATCGATGAGATGAGAGAACCTATTTTTCTTCCTCTTTTCATGCATTCACACCGCATAACCCGATTATACGTACGTTTGAGGAAGAAAGAGTTTGAATCGAGGCGGTCGGCCAGATGGAGTATATATTATTGATGCTGCAATCACGGAGCAGGAAGAGTCTCTGTTCATGCAGTGATCCTAATTAATAATTATAAAGTGGTTGGCTGCTTAATTTCAGGTCGCACGGGACGAAGAAAGTTGGCTAGCTATAGCCTGCCATGCAATGCACGATCTTCACGTGCGCGCAAGAGACAAATTAATTATAAACTCAATTACTCGTCGCCTACTTCTAGTTGGATGCTTATTATAGCATAACGGTGGTTATAACATGATCATTACCGCAACCTTTTAGCAGGAAACAAGAAGCTAGGGTCATAGCTAACTAGTAAAATATGGGATCACAAACCAAGTGTAGATCAAATGAAATTTGTTAAGTAGGGGCTAAAGAGTTGGCGAATTGTGTTAATATATGAAAGGAATCTTATATATCTTCCAACTACTTAGTTGGCCGCCGCTCTCACGCAATTAGAATGTTCAAATGATACAACCATTTAGTATCCAAAGTTTACATATCATATTGTTGCATTAACAATCTTAAAAGTTCCAAAACCACTTGATAAGAAAACCTAACAAAAAAAAAAAAAAATCAGCTGCCCGAAATAATTGAAATCTTGGGGAAGATGTGAGAGGGGAACTTGCACTAATATCTTGAAAGTTGGTTTAGGTGATTAAGTCTTTGGTAGTGTTAGGATGATTCTTCTTCCGGCCGACCGGCCGGCGAGCTCCTTCAAGTAGTAGTTCCGGCGATGGTGAAGGAATAGAGCTCATACCTCATTCGACAAATCCCTGTGGTTTCGTTTACTTGGGCTCCTTTGCGGTTAGGGCAATGGTCCTTGAGAACAGCCTCAGCTAGGGAGACACAATCAGCAATATCCGCTTCTCTTCTTGTCACATCCACCCACACGTAACCGTAGACACCCGAGTCCGGGCCGGCGCATTCCTGTTTTCCGGGCATCCCACCCTCGATTCTATAACGAGACAGAATTTCTAGGAGACTGTAGGCGCACGGCAGCCGGAGGTCGCCGTCGTCGAACTTCTCCTTGTTGCAAATGTACATGAACGTAAATTGTTGGGTGGTATGAGTAATCATGTGGAGGATGATGATGAGTGGCACCGTGAGAGTTATATTGTAGCTGCTTCTCAACCTCATCCATCTTTCCATGATGATGATGAAATTTGGGGAACTGCTGCTGTTTGCATGAAGAATGCATGACTCCATCTGTTACAGCTAGCTAGCTACCATTCTTTTTATAGATGGAGTTTGATCGATCGGCTCAGTGACAAGACGGCCGGCAGAGGGGTATCTTAATTATCTTTGCTGCTTCCCCTAATATTGTTTTCTTGTTTGATGGTCTACTTCAAACCAAAATAATTCCTCTCTAGTCTCTAGCTGTTAGCTTGCTTGCTGCCAGAAATTCTGTTCTGTGAGAAAGTCAAGCCAAGAAAAGACACTTTTGATATTTTAACAAATGATGAATAGGGAGATTTTAAAACTCTGCATTAGCGTCACAAATTCTAATATCCTAATATCCCAAATTCTGTTCGGTTGCACACTGACATGATACTACAATCATATTCTAATATCATCTACTAAATTAGTGGTAATTAGACTTACTAACAATATGTATGTGTAGTTACATGATAACTACTCATTTTTGTTGTAAGTACATGTTTCCTTGTGCATTTTGGTTCTTTTTATTCTGTGTCGTAGTCAGGATTTTGCCGAGGGCGGGTCCGTTTAGAAAAAAATACATACGATAAAATAGTTTTTGTTAGCTTTTTAATTTATTTATGATGTAATTTTATATTTACAAAAACTTGATAAAATAAATATATGTCAAAACTATCAAGAATATTACTCTACATGTATAAAACAATTATTCATGATTTAGTTAGACATTTGCTTTTGAATGGTGTTCTTTGTCAAGACCGTTTAGTATCAATAAGTTGAGTTGTTGGGAAAGATTTAATAATGGATCTTATACTATTTAGTATTTACCAACACTTCCCCACTAACGAAAATCAACTTATACGTTCTTAAAGTTTTCACAAATTCGAATATCATATGCTTAACAAATTAAATGGAGTCGCCAAGATTCGAACACATGATCTCTCGGCCAACCATTATCAATTAGAAGTTCCCTAAATTTCATTATCAATCAATTATTTCACTAATTTACTTATTTTCGTCACTAAGAGTCATCCATTATACTCTCCCTAACCCTGATTGAAAAAAAAATATTTTACAAATTAGCTATGACTTAGTGAAAATTTGTTGTAGATATTGAATAAGTATATCTTAGTTTTAGGCAAATCATATGCACCATGGTCGTTTGTACATAGCTTGTTATAAAAACATTGAATATGCCAATACACAACTTATAAAACATACACCAAATATTTAAAAGATCAATCATTCTCATGTAAGTATGTATTATTTTTCATACCCCACTAACTACTATACCTAATTTACTATTTTTCCTCTTGATCGAGGGTGGATCTAACCTTCTCTCTCCGCCACTGCTTTTATTGTTGGATCGAACTCCTATGATAAGGACATATCACCTCAATTTTCATGTATTATCTGATTTTAATATAGAATTGTTCATATATTTGGCACGTCGTAATGGAGATATATGTTTGTTATCATTATTAAAGTATTACTTGAGAAATTCAAATATAGAACTTCAAAATTCAATACTAATGATAATACCACTAGACCAAGTCCTAAGTCGCTCATTCATACTTTAAACTATTTGTGTAAATGTACAATGGGTTGATTCCGAAAATTTGAGCATGGTTACATCAATCTAAAAATTCCAAACTAGCATTTTGACTCTAAGAAGAATTATATAAATACTGTCACTTGACGAGTCAAAATAGTTGTCTTGGGATAACGAAATCACATGGAAAGTTCTTCAAATTCGTAAATGTCATTGATTCGTAGATTAATATGTGGATGAGATATATAACTCTATGCACAAAATTTATTAAGGCTGCCCAATATTTTATATTCTTCACATGTACGTGAAGAGTAAGTTGAGATTTTAACTTATTGTTCGAGTTGGGGATCAAATTTTTAATTTTTTCTATAATAATTTGATAAAATAGATTAATACTTTCGAGATTGGGTGGATAGGGCAAAATTTGTTGATCAATAGAGTTGCATGCAGCTGGTTCATGATGAACAAATGGATAACCCAATTGTGAGAGAGTTCGACAGCAGATATGAATTGGTATGACTTTCATATTTTTCATTGTTCTTTCTATGTTTTTCAAGATAAACCATGGAATCGAAACGACATAAAATAATTTTAATTTGGAAACGAAATGGAATTATACTCAATATTTTACGATTTGGCCTAAATATAATTGAGTATTATTTGACCCGTATAGTCAAAATCACTGCCACCATAATGAGCAAACACCCACGAATGAACAAATTTACACTTGTCCAACTAAACTAGCTAGTTGACGTTCAATTTACTCTCAATATAAATATATATATGCTGTGCAATAAAAACGACTATGAAATTGAGAACACAATACCTAATATCCCAGCAGAAAAAGTAGGTAAATAATTAAAGCAAACCAAATGTATATTAGCTAGGGATACCAGAAGCCTGGCCACGCCTCTTGTATCCAATAATATATTAATTTCATTAATTAAGGAAAAGAACATATATTAAACATAAGTTGAGTACATACAGATGAATTAATTCCATATTTAACAGCTCTCTCATCCGTAGTCTTCAACCCAAATTAAAAAAGAACAAACAAATAAAACCGCATCGCGAACTCAAATTTAGAAGAAGAGCCCAGCGACGACGACGGAGGCGAAGCCAGCGACGTACGAGAACTTCAAGCCATCGACACCGCTAGCAGGGGCGGGTGCGTCGGCCGCAGCCACGTCAGCAGCGGGGGCCTCGGTGGTGGGGGCAGGTGGGGAAGACACGTCGGCTTCCGGCGAACCGGCGGAGGAGTCGGAGGACGGAGCGTCGGAGGATTCATCGCCGGACGGGGAAGAGGCGGAGTCGTCGGAGGAAGGAGCGTCGGAGGATGAGTCGTCGCCGTTGGGGGACTCGGCGGGAGATTCTCCGGCGGAGGACTTGGGAGACTTGGCCGGAGAGGAGGAAGCCTTTGGGGAGGAGGCCTTGGGAGACTTGGCCGGCGAGGAGGAGGAGGAGGAGTCGTCCTTGTCGCCGGACTTGGGCGGGGAGGCGGAGGGGGCCTTGGAGCTCTTCGGCGACGGGGAGCTCTTGGGGGAGTCCGCGGCGAGGGCGCCGACGACGGCGACGAGGATGAGGGCAATGACGAGAAGTTGTCGCGCCATTTTTTTTTCTTTCCTTTTTTCTTTTTGTTTTAGGGGTATATAAGGTCTAATAATTAGGAGGTGAGATTCTATAGGAGGTGCAGTGTCGTTGGTTCTCTAGATCAAGTAGAGAAGACACTGCAGAAGCTATAGAATCATTTTCAAATTGTGGAGGTGAGGGAGCAATTTATGGGGGATTTTTTTTTTTTTTTTTTGCATGGCTTGCATGGAAGGGAAAGAGAAATGGTTGGTTGAGATTGGAAGAAGCTATTTTTGGGAAATTACTACACCTTTGGGGTTGTTTTTAGGTTTTGACCGAGTTTAATGGGTGCTAAATTTTAGAGTTTTTCATATTTGTGTGGTTAAGGAATGTGTATTTACATGTCTTGTTGTTGATTAGCTTTTAACCCTCCAATGAAGAGAAAAAACCGCATATATTTTTGGAAAACCGCATATATAGACATGTACAATATTATGCATATATTTAGCTTTTCAATTAATTAGGTAAGCAAACGGTTTCTTAAGGACATATATGAATTTGGTTAATTATGCGGTCTATAAATGAGATGATGATATATACTCTCAAATCAATTTTACTATGTAATTGATTCATAACAAAAGATGGTAAATGTGTGCTATACTGAGATAATTCACGATTAGAATAACTCGAAACTCGTAACTACGGACCCAAAACTACACTTAATCATGACTTATGGCACTATGGTCATCCACATGTAGCTTTACTTCGTTGTGACGATGAATTATACCGTATATTAATGTTGATAACCCAATACGTTATGAGAGGCCGATCAAACACATCAAATTGGATTATGAAATCATTTCGGAAAAGGTTTCCACAAAATATGTTATTTGAACATCTTGTGTTCCCTCTTCTTTAACAATTGGCTAATATCTTCATCATAGCCTTGGATCCTTTTCAATTTGAAAATGGAGTCGACAAAAAGCTTATAATCATCCTTAACTTCAATGATTCATTTGATATAAATTCATAGTTTGATGATCAGTTTGTCAATGAACTTTCCCGTGATGGTTTATGTAATTAACCCATGAATTCTAACTCCGACGTGGCTGTCATCATCTCTCTCTCCCCCCTCTGATTTTTCTTCTCGTCAAAATCCAAAAAACCTCTCCAAGCCGCCGTAAAACCCCTGCTTCAGCCGTGAAGCTTAATTGGGTTGCTCCGTCGCTGACCGATCGAACGCAGCAATGGCCGATGAACCCACCTCGATTCCTGGATCCCCCGGCCGGACCGTCGAAGAATGCGAAGACATGATTCGGAAAAGCCTCCGGAGTAACTATTCCTCTCTTTCTCTCTTACATTTCAACTGAGCTCTTAGGGTTCTGTACTTCTTTTTACTCACTCTAATTTCAGTTGCCTCTGAATTCTTGGAAAATAATCAATTGGGCACCTTCAGTTTACTCCCAACAAATGGAAAGTTCGTGTCTTGACTCTTGACTGTTTTTTCCCCTCTTCGACTTCATTTCAGCTCCAATGGTGAAATTTTTAAGGGAGAATTTGGAGAAAGCTGGGTGTGGAATTGGTGACAAATTCATCAAGGCCGTTCACTGTGATGGAAGTTATAGCGGGGGCTTCACTCCCGGTAAAGGGGTAGCATTTTGTTAGCTCTTCTCTCTTTTCTGTATATCCTTTGTTCAATTTTTCAGTCTTTCACAATGCAAGGTTCAAGTATCGTTTCTGTTGAATTTGGGTGGTGGCACAAGTTGTTTAATTCCGGTCTGCTTGGGGTTTCCAGATACAGGTTTGCAGCAATCAAATGAACATTCAAGATGAGGTCAATCAAGTGGTCATCCATGAACTTATCCATGCTTTTGACGAATGCCGTGCTGCAAACTTGGACTGGACTAATTGTGCTCACCATGCTTGTAGTGAGGTCTCTAGTCAATTTAATGCTTGCTGCTTAGCTATAATTGAACCTTCTTGAGTTGACACTTAATGTTGATGATTCTTTGTTGGTTTGTCTTCTGATATTAGATTCGGGCTGGCCATTTAAGCGGGGATTGTAACTACAAGCGGGAGTTGCTCCGTGGCTTCATGAAAATTAGAGGTCACGAACAAGTGAGTTTCACCAAATTCTTATATATATATTGACATCTGACTGATAGCATTCACAGTTCTGTGTTTGAATTTCTGATACTTAGGCTATATAGCTTCGATACATGGCAGAATACTAGCCATTTCCTAATCCCACTGATTCTCTATTATCTTTGGCCCATAGCCACTGCTTCATACTTCATACCATAGTTCTTCATCTCTGAATTCTGATCTGATACTTCATGTGGAACCTCAGAATCTAATATAACTTTTCCTTTCGAACTCTGAAGGAATGCGTACGTAGAAGGGTCATGAAATCAATGAAGGGCAACCCATACTGCTCAGAGGCTGCTGCAAAGGATGCCATGGAAGCCGTCTGGGATGTCTGCTATAATGATACACAACCTTTCGATAGAGCTCCTTGAGAACACACATTCATGGCCATCAGCCAATGGTTAAAACATGCGGATTGTCAATTATACCTTCTTGTTTGATTGACATCAGAGAACACACTGTTCCGTTGGAAGTGCCTTAGGTTCAAACCAGAAACATGGTTTATATTGTATTTCGATTACCATGTAGTTCCACTGAATGATGTTCCTTTTCTGGAAAGCCATCAGGGCAATTATTTTGATTCAGATAAACTTGATCATGTATTGTACACTTTCGCCAAGATTTGGTGGACAGAGTTCTCTAAGTTTTTGTTGGTACAAACAAGTGGCCGTTGCATTCATTTTCATGAATGACAGAACCTCGGAACTCCTGCAGATGTTTCTTGTGTACCTTACTTTGCTTGCACCTAAAAGATTTTTGTCTGGTTTTGTTAATAGTTGTCAAATTAGGGTCGGATTAATCTGAGATCTGATACTAGAACTGCACTGCTCTCAACAGTAGAATGTTGGGATTGGAGGAAAAAAAGGTTCATTTGGGGCAAATGAACCATGTGATGGCCATCGGCCAAGCAGCACTTTACCCTTTTTTGATAGAAATTAAGCAACTTTAGAAGTTTAGAAAGAACAAAAAGAACCCCCAAGCATGTTCCCATATGCACACACAACTAAAAATCTTCCCTTTTTCCACTCCTATATCAAATATGCCTTGCTAATCTAAGATTCACCTATGTTTTGATCAAAATTCTTTAATTGGTGGGTCCTTTCAAATAGTGTTAATCCACTTGGTATCTTGAAATGTAGAAAAGGGGCTTCAGCAAGAACGCAAACTTGCATGCCTGTCATTTTTTGCTGCAGAGCTTTGACATGAAGAGGGTAGCTGTGTTGCTGATCAAGATGATGTTCTGCCTTTTGGTTTTAAGTCAGTTTTCCTCCTCAGTTGCTTCCATACAACATTTCTCGCTAGGTAGGAACCGTAACCAAGTTTAACGGTTCTTATATATCTTTGATTGTCTTTCTTCAAGCTAACAGCAGTTTTTATAATTTCCAGGTGAGCAGCAGCATCAGATGAAAGGAGCTGCTGGTGACGGAGCTGATGTGGCAGCTCCTTGGTGGTCGTCCGAGGACTACTCTTCCCCTCACAAGCGAAGGCATGTTAACAATGGCTTCGAGGAACCTTAAACAATGGTCGTATGTCTCGATGATGCACTTCTTCCATCACTAGTGATTGTAAACATATGGTGTTATTTTATACTCTTCCAGAGTAGCAAACTTTCTGGTGCAGAATGTTTTTCTGGTTTTGTATCTCAACAAGGGATTGTTTGGATTCTGTGAATATTCCATTCTGCTGTAGCCTGCCCCCGAGCCCCTTAACCGGATCCTGCAAAGTTACCTGAGAAAAGCTAAGCCTAAATTCCTAGTGTCCATGTTCCAACAAAACTAGTGTTCAATTTCTCAAGTTCAAGATAGGTCATCTAGGTTCTTGAATTATGAAATAGGTCATCTAGGTTTTGAATTATCATGAAAAGAAACGACAAATTATAATCCTAAGTCGAATCACTTCGAAATAAAACAAACATTTGTTGAGATGTGAGTTCAATTTGCCACAAAATATTCTATTAACAATTGAGGAAAGGATAGAACAAAGAAATTTAGCGATCATAATATAAAGTTGGACCAGTTAACCGCTTATTTTGTAGCAATGTGTAACTTAAAATGATAATTTTTGCAAATTACTCCATAGGTTATTGTAAAAATTATTAAAATGACATAACTTTCGGTGCCACCTTTGATTATATACAAATTTAAAAATAAAAATATTTTGTTTATGATAATGAATCCGTCCTTAATCAGCCTTCTGAAGAACACTATAATCATATTGGTTAGGATTTAGGAAAACCTCCTATCTTATGACTAGCTGGTAAATTCATGGAAGCCTCCTTTCAAGTCTACCACGAGGCCCATGAAATGGTGTTGGTCTAAAATGGACTGGTGCCCTAGAAAGGAATATGAGCTACACAAGGAAACATGACGGTCGAATCACAGCGGACCAAGTGCAAGTGTGCAACACAACAAGAAAGCTAGGCTAGAGAGCGGGACAAAAACAGAGAGCAGCAATATCCTCCTAGCATAGAGCAAATCGCCCGTTGTCGATTGGAACATTGCTGTTGCTGTACATGTAAGACGCGATCAATTACACCCAAAAATCCAACGAACCCTCATCGTTCCCCACGAAACGTGTCCCCGCCTTCTCCGCCCGCCTACCTTTGCCTCTCATTCAATTCCCCTTCTTCGATGCGTTTAAATCACCGCCACCATCTCATTTCCCTTCTCCTTTATTCTCCTCCTGCTTCTTCTTTTTCCTCCACTCTGTTCCCGGTTCCGAAACGACCGGCAATCGTCTCTGCAGTCGCTTCTTTCTTCTCAACGACAATGGCGCCCTCTGCCCCGGAAAACGCTTCCCACAATGCCGCATTGCTCTCTTCCTCCGGTGTCGGCGGCGACGTTTCCTCTGCTGCCCAGAAATCAAGGGTCACCATTATCGGAAGTGGTAACTGGGGGAGTGTGGCTTCCAAGCTCATCGCTTCCAACACCATCAAGCTCGCTTCTTTCCACGGTATAACTTCCTAAGGTTTTGTGGGTTGTGATTCTTTTTTGGTATTTGATTGCGGCATTGGGTGGAATTTGTTTCCTTTCAGTAAAGTAGCTTGCTTTGGTTGGTTAGTATCAAATAGAACGAGAATTAGGATAACTAGTGAAGCTTTTTCTTGCATGCATTGTCCATGGCGTAGCAAATAGAATGACTGGAGCTGAACTGTGGGCTGTTTTTGGTTATGTAAGGGTTGGATTCTAGGTACTGGAAGAATGTCCTGAATGACGAGACATATAAGCCGACTTAAATTCACGATTCTTTCATTGTTAACTTATTGTTCTGTATTTGGATTAGTTTCAGAATCTCTTCATAATTTTTTTTGCTAAGTAGAGATTTTTCCATTTGAGGATCAATTTTCATGTAATTTGACCATTAACTGTTGGAATCCAGATGAAGTAAGGATGTGGGTATTCGAGGAGAAATTGCCTAGCGGTGAGAAGCTGACAGAAGTTATTAACCGAACTAATGTAAGCTCCAAGCCACCATCATCCTGCCTCAATTTAATTCCTTTCTTTGTACTGATCACAATCTCTCTTGTTTCCTTGGGATTAGGAAAATGTTAAGTATCTCCCTGGCATAAAGCTTGGCAAGAATGTCGTTGCAGACCCCGACCTCGAGAATGCAGGTTATTATCGTTCTTACTTCGCCCGTTTTTCCTATGTTAGATCGAAATCTTTCGTTGGTTTGATGAATGAATTTACACAGTGAGGGACGCAAACATGTTGGTCTTTGTGACCCCTCACCAATTCATGGAGGGAATATGCAAGAGACTTGTAGGGAAAGTGAAGGAAGGTTCTCAGGCTATTTCACTCATCAAAGGAATGGAGGTTAAAATGGAAGGCCCATGCATGATCTCCAGTCTAATCTCTGAGCAGCTCGGTGTGAACTGTTGCGTGTTAATGGGAGCAAATATTGCAAACGAGGTGTGTAAGACGGTTTTCTAATCGTCTGTTGTCAAATCCGTGTTCAGTGATTCGATATTAAATGTGGGGAAATGATGTGGCTTTCTTGATGCAGATTGCTGTTGAGAAGTTCAGTGAGGCGACAGTTGGATACAGAGAAAACAGAGAGATTGCAGAGAAGTGGGTGCAGTTGTTTAACACCCCTTATTTCATGGTCACAGCTGTGAGTAAAATACATCCCAACAGTAACCATATTATTTTGTGGCCAACTGAAGGGTATACTCAGAGATCATGTTTAATTTTTCCATGTTTTGATGAATGAACAAAAAGGTCCAAGATGTGGAGGGAGTTGAGCTATGTGGGACCTTGAAGAATGTGGTAGCACTGGCAGCAGGTTTCGTGGATGGTCTGGAAATGGGAAATAACACCAAGGTAAATGTGGAACGTTTGCAATAAGGTATATGTTTTTCCATTCAAACCTCACCTCACCTGTTTGTTTGGAGCAAATAATAGGCAGCAATAATGAGAATTGGACTAAGGGAGATGAGAGCCTTCTCCAAGATACTGTTTCCAACTGTTAAGGACAACACCTTCTTCGAGAGCTGTGGGGTGGCAGATCTCATCACAACATGCTGTAAGCATCCTTATCAGTCTTTGGTTTATATTAAAACTTAAAAGCATGGATGATGTATGCTGAATCAGTCCACATGATATGTGCAGTGGGAGGAAGAAACAGAAGAGTTGCAGAAGCATTTGCAAAGAGTGGAGGGAAAAGGTTGGACCTTTAACACCATTTCTGGACTAGACTTCCATTCAAAGATAGGAGAAGCGCAGAAATCAATGTTGAACCTTTTTTATGCAGGTCCTTCGATGAGCTAGAGGCAGAAATGTTGCAGGGTCAGAAGTTGCAGGTAAAAGACTCTGTCAGAAGCCTGCTGATTTTGCATTTTACCTTCTCTATCTGTGCTGCTGGCTAATCTTTATGTTAATACGAAAAGGGAGTTTCAACGGCAAGAGAGGTATATGAAGTTCTATCCAACCGCGGGTGGCTGGAGCTGTTCCCACTCTTTGCAGCAGTGCACGAGATCAGCAGTGGACGCCTCCCACCTTCTGCTATTGTTGAGTATGGCGAGCACAAGCCAAACTTCTCTGCGGTAGAAGGCGCTGCTCAATACTTCTCTTCATGAGTGATGCTGCTATTATGCTTGCAAAGACGTTCAAGGTATGTTGCAAAAATCTACTGCCCTTCTAATACAAATATTATCACTGAAAGCTACATATCAGGAAGTACCAATGCTTGAGTTTGAAACAACTTACCGCAACAGATTTCTGTGTTCTTTTCTTACATGTTCTGCACCAGAAAGGCAGAAGTTTATGCGTTTGTTTAGTGAAACAATGATGCAACAGCATTTTGTTTTAGTGATTAATGATGTAATAGCATAATAGCCCTGTAGAAAATAGTAATTATTGTACCATACTTCATTTACACAATAAGAATGAAGCTTTTCTTTTTGCTCTGAATCCACTGAAAACATAGATGACATTCATGGTTGGATTTCAAGATTATCCTTGTTTAACGTTTATTACTTGACAATAAAGATAAAGACTGATTGAGATTGAGTCAAAACATGTGCAATGTGCCAATACTAAACTTCCCCACCTTTCTCATTTCATGCTCTTATATTATACATAGAGACAAAGACATCCCAGCTACACAACCATAGAAGGAAGCACAAAAAAACCACACTCGAAAGCACAATAACCCCCACAAATAACAAAAACCAAATTGACCAGAAGCTCTACAAAAGTCAACCAGTCCGTATTCTGTCCACACTCTTCCTCCCTCTCTCCAACTGGTGGTCGACGCTCTTCCTCGACTTCTCAAGGCAGCAGTCGACGCTCCTCCTCGACCTCTCTACCTGATCAAATGAAACCCTTAGCTTCTCCGCATAGTTTGATTGGTTCTTCAGCTTCTCCAGCTTCTCGTTGAGGTTGTTGCTGTTGCTCTTCAGCAGCAGCTTGTTGACATCAGTAGGGGGCAGTGCCTTGTCAGTGCTGTGTCTAGGCTTCTCCCTTCTGTCAGTACTCTTCCTCGAGGCCTCAAACACAATATCAGTGCTCTTTCGAGGAGGCAGCAGCTGCTGGTCCGTGCTCCTTCTCCTCGAACCGGTGTACCTTTGAGAAGGCGGTTTCTCCACGGTCGACACAAACTTCTTGAGGTGCCTGATGTACTCTGGATGGTGCTCCAAGTCACAGTGGTTACCTCCTTTGAGCCACAGTGGTTCATACTTCTCTTTGCTTAGTTCCCAAAGTTGCTTGCCGTGAGAGCAATCTACCACTTCGTCTGCAGTTCCCTATATAATCCATTAATCAACACAGAACATCAAAATATAGACCAGGAAAGAAGCATACCAGTTCAGCTAGTACTTGAAGTAGGTGATCAACTTTGGGTTCTCAGGGGTCAGCTTGTATATTATATATTGTCTTTAACAGCTGAATTTTTTTAGTTTTGGCTGCTTTCTAAGTTTTGAAAGCTGGTCTACCAGCAAGTGACCAACATGACAGCAGTCATTTTGTTTGCATTTGAGGGATTTTGGCATTACTTATAATAAACAAATAGAGGTTGAAGTATACTTACATGTATTTCTGGAAGACTTTGGATCATATTCAAATGATAGTTATGGAAGACTTTGACCCAATTCACCGTATAAACTATCCCCATAATCAAATACATCAAACCAAACACATTGAAACAAAATCGAATCGAACAAGGAAACATGGAAAAGGGATCCAATGAGTAAACAAGGAGTTCACAAATTGTGGAGGTAATTATGGTATCCCTTCTTTGAAGGAGCAATAGCCTAGCCTAGTACTGTGGTTCTGCTAAGCTCTGTCATATATAGAAATACAGTAAACTAAAAACATACTTACATGGATCACAAGAACAGGACAATCGACCAATTGAATCTTGTCGATATTCTGCCACAAGGAATAAACCAAATAATGCTCCCATGGCTACATTAAAAAGATAAGGATAGTGATAGATAGAGTATGGATGGTTACAGTAGTACCTTGTAAATATCAAACCAGTAAGATTTCTTAACAGGGTACATCACCCTCAGCCCTGAAAGTATGGGACTGTGCAGGACAACTGCCCTTAGATGAGGCAGTCGGGCAGCTAGATCTAGTGTAGGCCCGCTGCCAACAGACTGCCCATAAAGGATGATGTCTTCTTGCTTTGCACCATAGCCTTCTTCCATACACTTGTAGACTGCTTCAATGTCTGCATATGTGTGCTGTTCACTTGGCTGCAACATCCAAAAAAAAAAATGAATGGCCTTTACACCAAAAAACATAGTAACAACTCAAGTCCTTGGAAACCCCACGACCTTTTGATGATCTTGGACTCCTTATATCATGTCAAGAACTGATTTCGTCGTAATAACTCGCATAGTTGTTGATAGAAGTTCTAAACTGTCTCATTTTCTTACCTTACAATTCTCTCGTATGCCCTTTTAAACAGCACCTTTGTACCCCAAAGTTCAAAATTTGTAGCATATAGTACTTTCATGTTTAGGTTGTAAGTGGTTATTTGAATTCATACTTCTGAATGTTCATAACACCATTTCAGATATAGTTAAAAGTTCATATAAGACTCTTACATTATTCTCTAACATGCGCATCATGCCAATACATGTACACCACACATAGTAAATGAGGTAATGAATCAACATTACCTTTCCAGATGATTGTCCATATCCAGAGTAGTCATACCTGCATCAAGTTCAGGATTGAGCTGGATAAACAACACAAAGCCTTGAACTTTTTCTGATAAAAACTAATCTTCATTGCATTTAACAGTATTCAGATAACACTCAGAGCTAAGTATATAATTTTGTATCAATAACTTGAATCATTGAGGAACGGCTTTAGGATCTTATGAAAATCAATCCACGGACTCATCGTCAACTTGTTCAACATATAACCTTGTACCGTCAGCATTCAAAGATAAGACCTTTCAACCATCAAGTTCTAGTTGTTGACTCTCTCCTATTTGGCACAAAATTGACCGTGTAAGAAATGAAAAACAGAAAAAGACGTATTTTGTATTATGGTGAAAGGATTTAAGTCTTACTACCCCATGAGATTGACCCGCAAGTGGATGCTCAACTCGACGAAGAGCTCATACATCTGCCCCAGATCAGCGGCGTTCCCATGTGAGTAAAGCAGAGTGGAAGTAGCCATGGGATGTCTTATGTACATCGCCACTACCTCCGTCCCCTTTCTCGTCGGCAGCTTCAGGATTTCCACGTTTTCCCGATGTGGGAAAGTGCTCAGCAGCAGCAGACCCGTCATTTCGTCTGCCACCAGCTTGTACGATGGTGGGTTCGGCGGAAAGAAGGCCAATTTCGCCGCCATCGATGAAGTAACCCCTCCCATCTCCCTCTATTTACACTCTGTTCCCCTCCCTCCCCTGTTTCTACCCAACTGAACTTGCTCTGTTTTCCTCCTTCCTCCAACGGAGCAGAGTTTCTTCACTGTTCATCAAAACGAAAGGGGAGGAAGAAAGAAAGAGAAGGAGGAGAAAGGGGAAAGAAACATCCCAAAGGTTTCCAGAAGAACAAACAGACCTGCTTCTTCTTCCTTCTTTTTTGCTGCAGAGGAAAAGTAAAGGCAGCAGGGGAAGCTCCTTTTCCCTTTTGTCTATCTGCTTTTATTGGATCCCTCGGCTGGCCAGAAGAATGTGGCTGCTATGTTTAGAGAGAGAGAGAGAGTTTGCTTTTACATTGGGGCATATCATATCATATGATCAGTAGATTGTTATAAAGGCAGGGGGGAATTTGATTGACATTGAAGCTTAAATTATTTCTCTTGTAATGACTGGTAGGGTAGGGTCTCTCATTTTCCAATTGAATGTATCATTTTTTCTCAAGATTTATTAAGAAAATGTGACTTTATACAAACTCGATTTGAAGAGTGTAACTTGAACCTGACATCTTAGGGGTCGTTTGGAAGTTGCGATTGTTAAATAAATGTATTGTTGAGCAAGCATGTATAATATTATACATGTATTGTCGAATTTGATGCATTGTAGAATACAACGTTTGGTATGTGTGATTGTGTATGTCGCATCAGCTAAAAGCTGAGATAAAACAATATCAACTCAACTATCTCAACAATCACAACTAAAAGTTGAGATATAACAATCACTCAAAATGAGTGATAGTTTCTGTCACATAACAGAAACAATCCATGTATTGTTTCTGCTAAAAAAACAAAAAAACGATGCATTGTAAACAATACATGCATAATGACAATCTCAACAAAACTATCGCAACTTCCAAACGACCCCTTAAAATTTGCATTATTATCTGAAGCATGATCGTAAATATGAATATGATAGATCATTTGGTCTAGAATTATTTTTATATGATTGAATTTTATGTTCAATAAATCACCATTTCAAAAAGTTCATATGTCAATTACTTAAATGATTTGTGGAACACATGATCTACTAACATAAGAATGTCCTTATACCAACTCGATAATGATGCTAACAGAAGTGGTGTAATAGAGTAAAATGGATTTTCATCTCAGCTGCATGTTGAGTATTTTGCTGTAGTTATATGGCTTCCTCTCACCAAGCAAGCAAAAGCAAAACCCAAATATAAAGCCCAAGCCCCATGTGAATAAAGATGGTGGATTGGGGTTGCTCTTTTCTCTTTCTCTTTGTGTAGCTTTGTTGGGATTGATGATTGGATGGCATTTTGAATGGGTGAAAACAAAAAGAATTTGGAGGGAGTGACTAAAAGTAAATCAATACTATAGTGGACATGAATTGAGTTGTTTCAAACTTGAAAAGAAATGGTAGAGTAGTGATATATAGGTAATTTGATTTATTTTTTGAGTAGGAGTTACGTTCATTGAAATCGTTCTTTTTTATGTGGTAATTTGCTATCGGATTGGAGCAATCGTTCTTTTTTATGTAGTAATTTGCTATCGGATTGGGGCAAGTTAGGAAATGTCACAAGTAGGTCATGTATCTAGATTTAATGCAAATGGGGAGTACTTCAAGTTCCTGGTTCCAGACAACCGTGTTTGATGCAAGTTAGGGAATCCCACGAGTAGGTTAGGTATCTAGATTGGATGTGGATGATGAGTATTTCAATTTTATAATTCCAAGAGTTTGAGCATTAGTACGCTTTAGGAGTGTACAACTCATTCTCTGATTTTATTTATATAATGATAATTGTTGGCCCCCAAGATTTGAATATAATGTATAGCGAATGCTATCATCCCCACGACTCATGTTATTGTTATTTATGGGAAGAGAATGGCATTTAATTATGGTGAGTTTTGAGACAAGATGCTTCCAAGACCATGTTTAAAAAGAAATAAGAAATTCGTCGAGTGATCCTAATTTGTTTTTTCTATGATTGAATTTGAATGAATCTATGTCCATAAAATTTTATAACACATTTCAACTTTCATTAAAATCAAATGTGTTTCAAAAA